GCCTTTCTTCTTCTTGTCCTTTTTGCCATCTACTGCCCTGCAGTAACAAAGCAAAATTATTAAAACATTCAGCAGTTTACCAAATACATAGTTTCTTTAATCCTTTGTGGTTCTCTGATGGACTATATGGGATTTAGAAATTATTCTAAAGAATCTACAAGAAAAGTGAACTGACGAGTAAAAAATACATTTCCAGAACAGAACATTGATTTTTTAGCCTCTGTCCTCTCTGCAGAGCCAATACTTCTACAATCACTACAATAAACCTTTGGCAAATAGCCAATGACAGCCAACTTCTTGGTATAAAAGGTCACATGTATATTGGTCCCGAGGGAATAACATTTTACCATGAGCCCCACACAAATGCCAATGCTGAGTACTTATATCTCACTTTATAAACTTTTCTCATTACCCTTTCTTCCTCTGCCACCCAAATTACTTCTTTTAATTAATTATTTGATATTAGAATCAGAAGGTTTAGACTAATAATACTACTTACAATTCAAACATCATCTACAGAGAGGAAAATAAAGTAAATTCTTATTTCTACAGAATAATTAATTGTTTTTATTAACATCACTACCAAATAGTTTACAAGAAAACTTCCTATGCACGATTTGAATTTTTCACAGCAGTTAAGTTGGAAGGTTGCTGTCTTCAGGGTCGTTGCGCCATGTAGTCTGGTAGAAGTTTACTGACGTTTCAAGGTCCATCGCCCTAATGATGGCGGCAGCACAGACTTCTGAAACGTCGGATAAACTTCTACAAGACGACATGGCACAACAACTCAGAAGACAGTCATCTTCAAGAAAACTTCCCACTTAGAAATTCAGACTAAGCTGACATACATTTATCTCTAAGGTGTAAAATGCGTAAGGTTTCATGCTGATTTCTTATTTACTCTTCACAACTTGTACTGAAAGTGGGGTATTATATAAATGCATAAGACAATGTTTATAAACAATGTTTTGTTATGATATGCAAATATGAAGTGCAAGCAAATATTCCTGCCATTCTCCTTTGTTCTTAAGAAAGTGCTACACATGGAAAATTTATGTAGGATACACCCTCAGTACCTCTGTTCCCATTACAAAGGCTACTGAACTATTTTTACCATCATATCAGTTTATACCCAAAGCTTTAAGATTTTGCCTACAATATTCAAGCCACTAGCCCAAAACTGAAATGTACATCATGGAAGGTCTGCACAAGCTAAACTTATTTTTTGGGAACAATATGTAAGTGGTTGTACTCTATATGGCCTTTATTATATTCCTACTAAAGACTGAAAACTGCTGCCCTCTCCAAGGTTTGCTGTTCTTACATCATCAACATCATGATGTGTTCTTCATGTTCTATCATGGGCATGTCCATGTATGTCTGTCACAATTTTCCTATGGACTTGGCAACCTGCATGACTAGGTCATTGTTGCAGCACTGTTACAGCAACGGGAACCAAGGCCATTCTTGCCTCAGAACGATGACCTCAGATAACAACAATGACCAGATAATAATGGTGTCTTTGATACCTCTACGACATTTGTTAATCTATAATGTGATGCCACGCAGGTAGAGGATGTGTTAACATTTGTTAGGGAATAAACGTAATTCCCATAATCATTATTAGTTCCATTTACACATCACTATTACAATGTATCACTTTAAGGAAACGTGTTTTGACACGTATTATGTTTAGTATACTGAATCTGTGTAACTAAAAACCCATAAAATAAGCAGAATGTTTTAATGTAAATTAAAATTAAAATGAAATATGTGATGGAATGTTTAATATGGCTTAAGGTAATGAATTTACATAATATTCTAACACAAAAAACACAATAAATAATTTAAATACATGTTCTAAGTACAAATTAGAGTGGGTAGCTTGCCAGATGCATGCATGTGAACACACAGGGATCAGAATGTAATACCTCTATATACATAAGGTGTCACATCTGTGACACATTCAACTGAATATTGACAACTTGTCTGAAGAGATCGGTACAGATACTAGATAACAGATGCACCCTTAACTCCCACAGATTGTAGGCATCAACACTACAGTTGCAGTGTCATTAAATAAACCATAAATAAACAATAATCTACTTTTATGAACTCAATGAAGAATAAGATAGACATAAAGCAATCAAACTCAACACAAAACTGATGATCCCACTCTACGGCAAAATAGCTGCTTTAAATTCACCACCTGTTTTTAGCAATTTTTACATAAGTTACTGCACCAAAATCATGGGAAAATTATAATTTGCAAGACTGACTGTATGAGAACAGACAAAATTACTATCTACATTTTTTTTCTCAAATACCTACATAACCAATCTTTTTTTAACAATATATAATCTTCTATTCCAACATTCTTCATAAAGACAACATAATCTCTAATAACTGAACTTTACCTCTGTTAAAAGAATTTCAATCAGAGTAATTATCTCCATTTTTTAAACATGAATAAATACACTGCTCAGGATAGTTTTCCAACAAAACGTAAATGAAACAAGAAAACAATAAACCCAGACTTTAGCAGTTCAAAGTTTACGAACTATGTTGTGTTCTGGTTCTCAATTTTACAAGTCATATAGCCTCATACGCGTGTCTCTATTTGGTGCTTTTCCCCTCTTTTCCTGCCCCTGCTAGAATAAGCTCTCTGCTATCTTGTCAGAATCCAAAGAGGACGACGTTTCACCACAGGAATTCCCTGCATCATCTGAGCTCATGGAATTGCTCCTGGCAAAATGTATTTTACAGCTGGAAAAGGATACAGAAAAATGGTGACAATCTTCAAACAATCACATGAAAATTGGAAGGGACAGAAAAACACGGTTATAATAAACACATCCAAAATAAATTAACATAAGAACAACGAACAAGCTAAGAACTAAATACAAACCTGACAAGAATTAATCTTTTCTTCTGGGGACTCCATGTACAATGCAGTTCACTACGACATGTGTGGACAAAATCTGTACTACTCATGGGGTTCATTTGGATGTGAAATAAACACTTAAAAAACCGAACATATGACTCGTGTATGCTTTCATTACTGAAAGGAAAACCTTTATAAATTGTTGCAATTACTGAAAACACGAGATGGAAAAAGGTTGCTTTGTACAGCAAGGTCCTATAGATACAGAAGAAACAAATGGATATTTCTTATGCAATTTTTAACAACCTCAAGGAAAGTTTAAAAATGACAGCAATTCTAAAATAGGTCAGGAGAATAAAAGAAAGCTCACATTACAAGTAAGACTAGTTCTGTTATCAAATTGACCTTCAATAATGGTTCCAGTAATGGATTCTCTGCCTGAGTGGTGGCATCGTAACATACAATTTCAACACCTGGTTGTGGATTTCTCAATAAGATTCCCAAGGCAATAAATGTTACCACCAAATGTCACAGCCAAGTGGTTAGTACTCCAGTTGTATATTCAGCAGCATGGCATTCAAATCCCAGCCCAGAGACCAGCCATCCTGACTGAGAATTTCTGTTGTTTCCCTTAGTCCATCCAGGCAAATGCCCAGTAGCACCTTAAATCAGGCCATAAGTGCCTCCTTCCAAATCGTTTCCAGTTCATTATTCATTAATGATCCTACCATCTGATACTAAATAGTTTCAGTTACAGACAGTATGGTTAAATAAACGACAAATAATAATTTCATCTATAGGTCACAGAACTGCGCAGTGTTCTGTAAAACCAATTTTAAACATGCGGTAACTGAATGCTTCAACAGCAGTAACCAACTCCACTGCACTTAAAATTATTCCTCTTGTTTGTTTTCTGGCATTTTTAGTAGCAGTTGTCTATTTTTATTGTTTTGTTAACACCAAATCACATTTTCTTTAAACACAGATAAAGGCAGAAAAGATGCAGCAGCCTATTTCAAAATGCAAACAGTTTGAAGAAATAATAGCTAAAGATGAATCATGAAAACAAAATGGGAACATTTTAAAATGACAGGCCTGAAGGGAAATTGAATGTTACCATGTCAAATGTAAGAAACTGACAGATAATGCATATCACGGAAAACTTCCCACTTAGAAATTCAGACTAAGCTGACATACATTTATCTCTAAGGTGTAAAATGCGTAAGGTTTCATGCTGATTTCTTATTTACTCTTCACAACTTGTACTGAAAGTGGGGTATTATATAAATGCATAAGACAATGTTTATAAACAATGTTTTGTTATGATATGCAAATATGAAGTGCAAGCAAATATTCCTGCCATTCTCCTTTGTTCTTAAGAAAGTGCTACACATGGAAAATTTATGTAGGATACACCCTCAGTACCTCTGTTCCCATTACAAAGGCTACTGAACTATTTTTACCATCATATCAGTTTATACCCAAAGCTTTAAGATTTTGCCTACAATATTCAAGCCACTAGCCCAAAACTGAAATGTACATCATGGAAGGTCTGCACAAGCTAAACTTATTTTTTGGGAACAATATGTAAGTGGTTGTACTCTATATGGCCTTTATTATATTCCTACTAAAGACTGAAAACTGCTGCCCTCTCCAAGGTTTGCTGTTCTTACATCATCAACATCATGATGTGTTCTTCATGTTCTATCATGGGCATGTCCATGTATGTCTGTCACAATTTTCCTATGGACTTGGCAACCTGCATGACTAGGTCATTGTTGCAGCACTGTTACAGCAACGGGAACCAAGGCCATTCTTGCCTCAGAACGATGACCTCAGATAACAACAATGACCAGATAATAATGGTGTCTTTGATACCTCTACGACATTTGTTAATCTATAATGTGATGCCACGCAGGTAGAGGATGTGTTAACATTTGTTAGGGAATAAACGTAATTCCCATAATCATTATTAGTTCCATTTACACATCACTATTACAATGTATCACTTTAAGGAAACGTGTTTTGACACGTATTATGTTTAGTATACTGAATCTGTGTAACTAAAAACCCATAAAATAAGCAGAATGTTTTAATGTAAATTAAAATTAAAATGAAATATGTGATGGAATGTTTAATATGGCTTAAGGTAATGAATTTACATAATATTCTAACACAAAAAACACAATAAATAATTTAAATACATGTTCTAAGTACAAATTAGAGTGGGTAGCTTGCCAGATGCATGCATGTGAACACACAGGGATCAGAATGTAATACCTCTATATACATAAGGTGTCACATCTGTGACACATTCAACTGAATATTGACAACTTGTCTGAAGAGATCGGTACAGATACTAGATAACAGATGCACCCTTAACTCCCACAGATTGTAGGCATCAACACTACAGTTGCAGTGTCATTAAATAAACCATAAATAAACAATAATCTACTTTTATGAACTCAATGAAGAATAAGATAGACATAAAGCAATCAAACTCAACACAAAACTGATGATCCCACTCTACGGCAAAATAGCTGCTTTAAATTCACCACCTGTTTTTAGCAATTTTTACATAAGTTACTGCACCAAAATCATGGGAAAATTATAATTTGCAAGACTGACTGTATGAGAACAGACAAAATTACTATCTACATTTTTTTTCTCAAATACCTACATAACCAATCTTTTTTTAACAATATATAATCTTCTATTCCAACATTCTTCATAAAGACAACATAATCTCTAATAACTGAACTTTACCTCTGTTAAAAGAATTTCAATCAGAGTAATTATCTCCATTTTTTAAACATGAATAAATACACTGCTCAGGATAGTTTTCCAACAAAACGTAAATGAAACAAGAAAACAATAAACCCAGACTTTAGCAGTTCAAAGTTTACGAACTATGTTGTGTTCTGGTTCTCAATTTTACAAGTCATATAGCCTCATACGCGTGTCTCTATTTGGTGCTTTTCCCCTCTTTTCCTGCCCCTGCTAGAATAAGCTCTCTGCTATCTTGTCAGAATCCAAAGAGGACGACGTTTCACCACAGGAATTCCCTGCATCATCTGAGCTCATGGAATTGCTCCTGGCAAAATGTATTTTACAGCTGGAAAAGGATACAGAAAAATGGTGACAATCTTCAAACAATCACATGAAAATTGGAAGGGACAGGAAAACACGGTTATAATAAACACATCCAAAATAAATTAACATAAGAACAACGAACAAGCTAAGAACTAAATACAAACCTGACAAGAATTAATCTTTTCTTCTGGGGACTCCATGTACAATGCAGTTCACTACGACATGTGTGGACAAAATCTGTACTACTCATGGGGTTCATTTGGATGTGAAATAAACACTTAAAAAACCGAACATATGACTCGTGTATGCTTTCATTACTGAAAGGAAAACCTTTATAAATTGTTGCAATTACTGAAAACACGAGATGGAAAAAGGTTGCTTTGTACAGCAAGGTCCTATAGATACAGAAGAAACAAATGGATATTTCTTATGCAATTTTTAACAACCTCAAGGAAAGTTTAAAAATGACAGCAATTCTAAAATAGGTCAGGAGAATAAAAGAAAGCTCACATTACAAGTAAGACTAGTTCTGTTATCAAATTGACCTTCAATAATGGTTCCAGTAATGGATTCTCTGCCTGAGTGGTGGCATCGTAACATACAATTTCAACACCTGGTTGTGGATTTCTCAATAAGATTCCCAAGGCAATAAATGTTACCACCAAATGTCACAGCCAAGTGGTTAGTACTCCAGTTGTATATTCAGCAGCATGGCATTCAAATCCCAGCCCAGAGACCAGCCATCCTGACTGAGAATTTCTGTTGTTTCCCTTAGTCCATCCAGGCAAATGCCCAGTAGCACCTTAAATCAGGCCATAAGTGCCTCCTTCCAAATCGTTTCCAGTTCATTATTCATTAATGATCCTACCATCTGATACTAAATAGTTTCAGTTACAGACAGTATGGTTAAATAAACGACAAATAATAATTTCATCTATAGGTCACAGAACTGCGCAGTGTTCTGTAAAACCAATTTTAAACATGCGGTAACTGAATGCTTCAACAGCAGTAACCAACTCCACTGCACTTAAAATTATTCCTCTTGTTTGTTTTCTGGCATTTTTAGTAGCAGTTGTCTATTTTTATTGTTTTGTTAACACCAAATCACATTTTCTTTAAACACAGATAAAGGCAGAAAAGATGCAGCAGCCTATTTCAAAATGCAAACAGTTTGAAGAAATAATAGCTAAAGATGAATCATGAAAACAAAATGGGAACATTTTAAAATGACAGGCCTGAAGGGAAATTGAATGTTACCATGTCAAATGTAAGAAACTGACAGATAATGCATATCACGCAATGTCTAGTAAAAGAAAGAAAACCTTAAGAAACTCGGACAGAAGGCAGGAACACAAAGATAGCTGTGAAGCAACACTCACTCTTTGGAATTTGCCTCGAGACTTCTCCTGCGTAACTCTTCCAGCGTGACATTGTTACTCTGTTCCCACGCCTGTTTCTCTTTCTCATAAGATTGTCTCCTTTCTTCTAATTCACTGATTTGTTGTTCCAGAGCTTTCTTCATTTGTTCATGCCGGCGCTGTAGCTGTTTGAAAGACAGTGTAACGTGAAATTCTACGACACAACACAAAATCTGAAGAATCGCCTTCTAAGAAAGTGTCTACGAACAATATTCTAACTACAAATTAAAAAATAGAACTGTGATATACAATTAAAATTTCTTTTAGTTTTTATTCCAATGAACATAAATCCATGTCAATTCAAAGGTTTCACTACAAAAATGTTTCACATAAAAGTTATGGTTCTTAAAGACAAAATTTGGTAACAATCGTAGCAATATAAAAACTTACATCTGCTTCTGAATCCCGGAGCTTCTGCTTCTTCTCCCGAACCTTCATTTCAAAGACCTGTTCCATTTCTGACTCCATTTTCTTCATCTTCACTTCATGATCACGCTTCTCCTCTTCCATTTGAGCCAGTGGATTCCTGTACACCCATACAGACACATCATTAATTTGCATACTGTACAATCTTCTAGCAAGTGAAGTGCAGGGAAAACTGCAATGATGAAGAAATACCAGACATGTTTGTGGCTTTCAAAGAACATCATTAATTTCAAATGATAATTTTCATAACATGATAAGTTGTATGCAACATTTATTTTTGATGTGTACAATTTTTGGCTGAAACAGAAAACATCAATAATGAATATGATTTTATGTTAATCACAACCTTAGCAATGGCCTGTTATTTTTTCAGAAAAGAGACTAAAGTAACATAATAAGCAGGGGAACAGACAACAGAAAAAGGCTAACAAACATGTCTCAAAATGCACTTGTTATCACTGACACGGCTTCAGATGAACCAATAATTCCAGAGACCATCTGGAGTTCTATCAAACATTATACACTATGGACCTACTGAATGCAAAAAGAGGAAAGTCATTTAAGACCTAAACTTGAATTCCCATGCTTATATTCAACCATGGCCACAGGACACACACATTAGCAAATTCCACTTTCGCTACAGTCCACACCTTTCACTTTGAAGTCAACACGATTTTAAACGACCCAGAGAATGTCTGTTGTCATAAAAATAAATAGCCCAAGTTGTATTTAAAGGCCTTGAATTTCTTAAAATACAGGTTTAATTGTGTGTGGGGGAGAAGATAAAGAAGTTGCAAGAGCACCATAGAAAGACTTAAAATGTGCTGTTGTGGAGAGAGATTAAAGGAGACAAAATGCACAAATGTGACACGATGAGAGGCAGCTTTCTCTTTTAAAGTATGATGTGACATCATTGACAAGGAAAGAGAATATCATTTGTGCATCACAATGCACATCAAATGGACCAAACCTAGGATTGGACAGTGCTGAACTCAAAACTTGACTTGTTAATTTTTAAGTGTTCTTAGCAACATGAGAGATTGGAGATAGGAAATATGATCTATTCAGGGCTGGGTGGTGTCCTGAAAAGGTCAGTGTGGTGGCCCGACAACCAGGTCGAGTCTGGTGATGCTGTACCGGATGCTTCAGACATCCATTGAGAGAGTGGTTAAGCAATGCCAGTACAAGCGATTAGGTCAGCACAACGTCCTTTTCAAGACACCACCTGACCCTAGCCAGTTCCTTCTTTCCTCTCTCCACCCTCTTATGTTATATAGTTCTTTTCTCCCCTGTACATTTCCTTTCCTTATGCTCCTCCTTGTCCACCTGTACTTCTCGTCTGGAAATCTACCTGATAGACCCTGAAGGGCCCTTATAACTGAGAGCTGCATCCTTTATTCTGTCTCTCTTGCATGTCATTTCCACCCCGCCCTTCTGGCCAGGCTATGGTATGACCCCTTGCTCCTGTTGGTTCCTTTCCCCTCACCCTACCCCTCAATGTAGTTCCCTACTCATCCAGTCAAGGTTCTACCTTGACCAGTGGTTCATATATTTCAAACCAATTCCTTGCATGTAGCTTACTCATCACCCTGATGATCAAGGCAGCAAGGACTTCTACCAGACCTCATGGTGTAACAACCCAGAAGACAGCCATCGCCAGACTAGCCACCATGAAAACCTCAAATCCCATGATATTAATTATCACCGACTTTGATCTACATGTAAAGTAGCCATTACACTGATCAAATTTTCACAAAACTCGCAACTGTTCAACATTACATGAATAAATTAGACACCAAATATCAAAATTTGTTGAACAGTTAACATGCTGATGCTAGGTCATGGAGACACAGACAACCTTCAAACATTTATTTTTACTTAAAATAAATGTCCAAGAACTGAAATGGAGTGAACATAAAACAACAAAGTACGTGTATCAATAGTATTATCATTGATATGGATGCCAATTAAAATAATAATCTGTGGTTCTCATCTAATACTGGATACTGCGATAGACCCGTTCCTGTGCACTGCAGGTCCCAACTTTACATTGGCTTGATCCATAGACATTTGGATGAGGCAAGGCCTCTACTGTGTACATAGGACAGCACAACACAGAAAGACACGGACAAACATCCATGGCTTGAGTGGGATTCGAACACACGGTCCCAGTAACCAAGCGGTACAAGGCCCACGCCTCAGACCGCGCGGCCACTGCGGACCCCTCTCATCTAATTAAAATTGAATATCCAAAGCTTACAAATTACACTGAATTGAGACCTATCCATACTAACGTTCTTGCTAAATAGCAACACAGATAATAATTCACTGACTGATGTGCTTTCTTATCAAGCCAAAATTATAAGAGATTAATCTATCCCATTTTATTTGACAACAGATGAACTGTGGAACAATGTTTAATAATTTATTTTCTGTATTTTCAACATACAATTTTCTCCTCTGTTGTTAGATGGTGCATGCAGCTACCAAAGGCATTCCTTGAACATATGCAGATCATTTCTTTACCATATAATAATACAGAACATTAGTGAATGGCTCAAAATGGCTGGGCTGAGAGGAAAGCAACAGAGCTACTGCGAGTGAACATGTTAATAAATTATCCAACATGCCAAACATCAGGAGTTATTTCTCCAAAGGCACAACACAAAGACAAATTGGAAAATGTCACTAATGTATGACATCACGAATTCAAATAACATCAACCCCATTCGAGAGAGAATAAAATTACTCCAAGTTAAAACAGGAATGGAACATACCACAAAAAAAGAGCATCAACAGTGGAGGATCATATAATGCAACTACAGTAGTATTATGGAACATACTGTGTCCAATTGAAAGACAACACTTTTTCACACATCAAATTGTAACTCAAGAAAATACATGTAGTATTTGAGGATTCCACAGGATGGAGGCAAAGAGGGTCATTGCACCAAGTACTTTTTGGCTGTTTGCCAATGTTTCAGAGTAGGATACTGCCTCTATCTTCAGAGCTAAATTTAGGTAGTATGTTCCACCTCATAAAACCATCACTTTCCTTTTACCTGACATGTGGTAACATTTTACTATATCTAAGACGGTGTATAATTATGACTGAATGAAGTTGGGAGTTGCATTTTAGCACCTAATACTTATATTATTTCATATGATATTACTGTAATAACATTTCCACTGCAACTAAGAAAAGGGATTTTGTTACAATAAACAGAAATGTGACAAAGTAAAATTATGATATCCCATGATCACAGCAAAACTGATGGAAGAATGGTATTCACCAAAACCCATAACTAGAAACAGAACAAACAACTTCTAAATTCTCTGGAGGTCAGGCTATGAATTTTATTAGCATAAATTATATCAGGGGGACTGTCAATAAGAAAGTTCCACCCTCCTTCAACAAAAAGGCACGTCTCTCAGAAGTTAATATGTTAAGTTTAAAAAGCATATATAAAATTGTGAAACTATACATCTGATTGAAGATTGCCACCTTCTGGGTTGTTGCGCCATGTAGTCTGGTGGACATCTACCAGACTACATGGCGCGGCAACCCAGACGACTGCAATCTTCAGACTCTCCGCTGTTGAAACCTCAAATCATACATACTTCTGATCACTGTTACTAATTATGGACATTTCCGGACACATTTTAGGCACCAAACTACTGCCCAAAACTGTATGACAGAAGACCATGGTAATACATCTGCCGTCATAACATAGAAAAAGAAACTTGGTCCTCCCAAAGCATTTCCTCTCCCTTTGTCACAACAGACTTGACGTTTCTTTCTTCACGCATGACAAAAGAAATGGCCATGGCATACAAAAATGGTCTTTCTTTTATTTCTAGACACAAAAAGCCTACATCTATCTGCACAGTACAATACTCAATTAGCAAATAAGGAATAAAGTTTCCACTGATTGCCAGGAGAACTTACCATACGGTCATGAAACTGTTCATCACTCCTTGAGGGCATACACTAGACAACAAGGAGGGAAACATTAGCCAAATTATTGAGGAGGCATATTTTTTAGAACAAAACAACAACCATTTTTGCATGCACATGTCTACAAAGTCACAGTAGAGCAGTCATCCCAGTAAATGAAGTTAACAGCCAGTTAGTTATTCAAGTGTCGTGACTATTCTGAACGAACGCAGAATTCTGCCAACTGGTAACACTGGTGTGACTATACCAATCGTATATTATATGAATACTAAAGAACTGTATGTAGTTCAATAACTGAACAAGAGGTAAATTTCATTATGGAAATATAAATACTGGTTAATGTAACAATTAACTCATCACAAACACACAACATTAAGAGAACCATGCTCAGCTACACAACCACATCTAAGAGGTAAACAGAAACAAGGTACATCAAACATCATGTCAATAAACAAATACAGTGTAAAATATATCACAACAGATTTAACCTCAATTGTCACGTTAGCATTACAGAAGAGTATCTGCATGCTGATACCATATTTCAGTCCTGCATTGTCCCAGATTCTGTCAGGAGCCCAAACTTTCAAAGTTGCCAAGTAAAGTAAAAATAAAGTTCGCACTTCGGGGGAGACCTCAAGCCTAGATAGGGGTGAGTGGTCAGTGTCACACCCTGGCCATGCTTTACACCCAGGAAAGGACAGGACAGGAGGCTGGGTGAGCCCCAGAGCCAGTCTGGATGCAGAGGCTAGAAGAAAAATCCTCTGCCCCTGTCGGGGATCGGACCCCAGTCGCCCATACTGACTGAGCTACTCTGGCTCCCAAAGTTACTAAGTACAGGATTAAATAAGTGAACTGGATAAAGTGACAATGTGCTTTTTTTTCTTCTATGTTCCCATTTGCTCACAACACTCAAACTTTCAAGACTATACTGTGCCAGTCAGAGCTCAGTTCAAATCCAGACAGTCTTGAGATGTGGAAATAAAATGGATATTTCTGTATCAGATCATGATTTACAAAAAGAAAAGGAGGTAGTACGATACTTAAATTGAACTCACACAAAGGGATAAATACCGTTATTAAAAAAATCCACATATACAAAGCTGAAGAATTTAGATCAATACTAAATGATCAGTCCACTACAGATTCTAATATGTTGATTCAGCTATTGAAAAAAAGTGGACCAAAAGTAAAACTGACAGCAAGCCATATAAAAAACAAACTGCTTTCAATTGCAACCTGGTACGTTGGTATCAGACTAACACAGTGTAGAACAACCAGTCACACAGCAGAGGAGAAACAACCACATTAAGTAACAACATATTTGATATTGTCAAGTGTGAGTGATCAAGATTTCTGAAAATAATAGGCAACTCAAAAAACTAAAACAAACAAGTGATGTGGTAAAGATAAGAGTGACCTAGGTTATGACAAATAAAAACCAGGAAGTGGAAAGTGATGCATGAGAAGTGAAAATGATAAATTCTGAACTATAATAAATTTTAACAAGGTACAATTATTTTAAAAACTATTTTAACTTAACCCCTTTTATACCTTCAATTTTAATTTTTCAATTTAAATTTCATAAAGACATTAACATTTCAAAATGCAAACGTGCGTTTTAACACACATGAAATAATGAAGACACTGAAGATGGTGTCATGAAGGCTGGTATGTATAAATTTATGTTAAAACACCCTGCTGCACCCTGCATGAGCCACCAAAGTTGTGTAGGATTTGAGGTTTTCATGGCGGTAAGAAGAAAGATGGCTGTCTTCTGGTTTGCTGCACCGTGAAGTCTGGTAGAAGTTTAAAGACGTTTCAGAGGTCCTTGCTGCCTCCATCATAAGGGTGATTGCAAAGACCTCTAAAACGTCGGTAAACTTCTACCAGACTACAAGGCGCAACAATCCAGAAGACAGCCATCTTCTAGCAGAAGCAGTTCTGGACCTGCTTGTTTGGCCTGTGACCCATACCGACATCCTGAAGCTTCCCTATCATTAATGGTATACAATTCTGACACCCCTGTACATTAGGTATGGCTCAGAGCTAATCAGGCAAGACAAATTTCTTCATGAATTATATCACATACTCATTTCTCTCTCCCTCTCTCTGACACACGCACACAATGTCTACTTTTGCCAATTCACAAACCCCTCCAAAAGAATAATATTCTTGTTTACATTATTTATTAATTGCTTGATATCGGATGCCTCTGGAGATGTCTGATGACCTTTACTGCCCTATGTAAACACTAGTCAGATCCAGAATCCATTTCTGAGTTGGGGGGGGGCGCGTGCGCAAGCATCCCAGTGATTATGAAGATGGTCACCAGAGGGGACCTACAGTTTACCATAATCACCATAACCTTGTTAGGCAAATTTGAAAACAGGAGGATGATGTTGAGATTAGTTAAAAAGCTAGAACTGAATACAAAAACTGTCAACAAAACTCATAAAATAATCTCCCAACATTGATGCCTCCAAGGCAAATAAATATACCAATACACATAACTGATAAACTCATCTGAGAGGATAAGAACAAAATAAGCAGAGTTTCACAGTAGCATAATAAATCATTAATGGGTCATCAGGGAATATAATCAGAATTTACAAATTTCAAAGAGATGGTTCATCTCTGAAGTGGAACCTTCTACTAAAGGTCCACAAAATGAATAGAAATGTCAAATAGCTATTTATACATGTACAAGCAGTACCCAAATTTAACACTTTCTCTCCCTCCTGCTCATGAAGCCAACTATCATAACATTCTGGCATTTTCATTCCACTTTCTGTCAAATGTAATTAATTGAAGCTATCCAATTATTACCTCCAAAATACTGCTAAGGAAAATTAAAATAAGGACTATGTAAAGGCAATGTACTTACCATACATAAAAAACTGACATAAATTAGCATCATATAATTTCCAAACATCTATGAACTTTCATCCAGTACTCTCAAATACAACAATTCAGTTTCCATTGATTTAATGCCTATTACTTTATAAAAATAAACACAAACATTGGTGCTGACAACTTGCGTCACTTACTTATTGGATATGCGTGTTGGCTTGCCATCAGTGCCCAACCCTGCCAGCTTGCGACACCTGTAGTTCTCATAGTGTACGTTGTTTGTGACATCTTTCAGGTCCTGCAGGTGCGTGCGTATCAGCATGTTACGTAACGCAATGAAGTCGCAGTGTTCCAGATTCTCCACTAAAGTGAACACACAACAATATCAAACGATGAATCTACATACATTCAAAGTGCATGGAAATTTTTATCTGTACTTGTCCAGAAGAACACTAATGGTGATAAAAGTTATCCTTTCTTTTAATGACATATAATGTACATATGAATGAACCACTTTTTGAAACCAAACATCACGAACTCTGTGTGAAAGTGTCACAATTTAAAAATATACATTTTCCATATCAAAAAGTGACAGTGAGTGTTAAAATAGAACAGATCTCAACCTTTATGATAAACTCGAGCAAAATTCTAAGCATAAAACGAAGGCTGCTTCAAAGCAAGATACTAAGACAATAGATTCTTACAGAAACCTACTACAGTCATTTCTTTGTTAATGAGCATTTTAAAAATGCATTTTGGCTATAACACGATTGATTTATAAGAGAGTGCTATTTCCATAATGTGGGTGCATGTTGGATGTCACAAGTGAAATAAAGGAAACAAAGAAGTTCTGAGAAGTAAATCATAAACACAGGTAGGTGCAGTCATTTTGACTGGCTACAAATAAAGCAATGGACACCTACCAGACTACATGGCACAACAACCCAGAAGACGGCAATCTTCAGGCTCACCGCTGCAGAAACCTCAAATCTTACAACAGCGAATTCTTTTGACTATCAGCTATACTGTCAGAGGACTGTTTAAATTTCATTTTTCATAAGTTTCATAATCATTAATCTCATTACTCATTAACATTACTGTGATATTTATTTGCCATTTTATGCAGAAATTATTTGATTTCAAAGTTTCTGGGACTAATCTTCACTTTGCAAGAAGCCCTGAATTCCAGTTTACTGTGTGATTTTTAAATCCTTCAAGTGGCACACCTGACTTGACACCCCACAACCGAACTGCTGCCTCTCATTCATAAGTGAAGTACATGCTTCACGTAACACCAGAAATGTTTGCCATTTGGTCACAAACAGGTTAACACAACTCTGAGAAAAAATATCTTTATTCTTTCTTCTCTCTAGAATGCTCATTTCACCTACTTCAAACCTTCTTGCACCTTTTGTTCTGCTTCTCATTAAATATTAAGTTTCTCACAAACAGTAAATGATTGTTTCATTTATTTTTAATGGCTGTACATGCAGGAAGTGGGACTGGGATGGAGTGAGGTTAGTGTGATGCTTTGCAGTCTTCTTAGTATAAACATCCAAGGTGAAGCTCTCTGTATTGCCTAATGGCAGCTTGCATGCAGTGTTGTCAAGTCTACAGATCTGTGTAGTATATTACCTTGCACAGTACATGAATTCTTCTATATGACATACATCAGGTTTTTAAGCAAAACGTGATATCTGGATAAACATGGCGTAAGTTTCATTGAAATAATAAATATTATATTTCCATTTCATTTTAACTGCTTTTTTTAGAACAAGAAATTATGAAAAAAGATAAAGATTTCTGTCTTCTGGGTTGCTGCGCTGTGTAGTCTGGTCAATGTTTACTAACGTTTCAGAGGTCATATAGCCTCCGTCATCAGGGCGATGAAGAGGCCCTGATGACAGAGGCAGTATGACCTCTGAAACGCTGGTAAACATCAACCAGACTACACAGCGCAACAACCCAGAAGATAGGAATCTTCATATTCATTGCCCTGATGACGGAGGCAGTATGAACTTTGAAACGTTGGTAAACATCTACCAGACTACACAGCGCAACAACCCAGAAGATAGGAATCTTCATATTCATTGCCCTGATGACGGAGGCAGTATGAACTTTGAAACGTTGGTAAACATCTACCAGACTACACGGCGCAACAACCCAGAAGTCTTCATACTCACCGCTGTGAAAAACCTCAAATCTTACATGAAAAAAGATTCTTCACACACATACTGGATCATCAAGTAATTGCAACACACCTTCTGCAATGCCCCACGGATACTTTCTACCACGAATCTTCTTGCTGTCAACCTCTATAACTGTATTGGAGCCAACTACAGCAAATGGCACACGATCTTGTAATATTTTGTGTAGCTTTGCTTGTTCATCATCCTCCGTGTCAGGAAACTCGTAAATTTTAATCTTGTGCTGAGAGATTTCATTCAGAATCTGTGAATTGAAGACATCAAATTTCAGCAAAGGGCAAGTAAAGGAAACATGCTCATATTATTATTTTCATACAGGAAGGAAAAACGTTCACAAAATTGACTCTCAAAAGTGGACATTTTCCTGTGTTTACTACTTTTTTGATGGAGATCAACTATGTAAGTTCTTTTGACACCTCTGTATTTGGGAACAGAAGAAATCTGCCATTTTCTCATTGACACCTCTCCAACAGCAGCATTTTTTTTTTTTGCTCTTGTATAAATTTCTGAATATCACTGCTACTATGAAACAGAATAAATCAATAATGCTTCCATGGGGGGTTTCTGCAAAAGGAGCTACTTTATTATTTATCATTCTTCCTACAACCCACCATCTGGTAAAAACAAGATGTGGGTAAGTATTTTAGATATCCCTGTGCCAAAGCGGAGGTGATTTAATGCTGCCCCATTTTGATCT